ATTCTAGGTTGTGTATAGTTGACAGTTAAAACTACCCACCACAGAAGGGGTGTGTGTGTGTGTGTGTGTGTGTGTGTGTGTGTGTGTGTGTGTGTGAGAGAGAGAGAGAGAGAGAGAGAGAGAGAGAGAGAGAGCACTGTTGAGAAAAGTAAAACAAGACAGTCTGGGGTCCTATTCAGTGAAAACATGATAATTCTTTTGGGTTCTTTGTTTTCAATTGAACACAGGCTCTCATGTGTGCTAGTGTTGTGGTGTTTGTATTCTTACTGCTGGCAGAAGGACGGCAGCCTTAGCGCACACAGCGTGGCTGGTGGCAGGGTGACAGTGAGAGGTTTTAACGTGGACACAGAAAGGTGCGTGTTCCCACTGCCCAGGGAATCCGCAGCCGGACAGGAACATAGTTTCACTTCCCTCAGTTGCTCCCCACTTTCCCGCTATATCGTAATGAAAAGACCGGTCACCCCTTCCCATAGCAACAGCAGGTTTTGCAGAAGCAAAGCAGCTGTCAATACCTCACAGCCCATTGTCCTATCCCTACCTCACCTGCAGGCCACCAGGAGCTCCCAGGCATTCCAGAGCCAAAGGTCAACGGCCCTGAAGGGACCCCGGGCTCCATATTATGTCTCTTTAGTCAGCACAGGGGACCTGGGCAAATTATCACTCAGGTCTGTGCTCTAAAGACTGGGACAGAGCAGTTCATTTCTGGGCAGGCAGAAAACACAGGGTCATCAGGTTAGGGCTGACTGTCATGTCCCCATAGTAGGTAAGTGTTCTACCACTGAGCTATGCCTCCAGCCTCATGAATACTCTTTCTGAAGCCATGACAACATCTTTTCTTTTTTTAAATTTTTTAAAAATAATTTATTTTTATTTTATGTACGTTGGTATTTTGCCTGCATGTGTGTGTCTGTGTAAGGGGGTTCAATCCCCTGGAACTGGAGCTACAGACAGTTGTGAGATGCCATGTGTGTGCTGGGACTTGAACCCAGGTCCTCTGGAAGAGCAGCCAGTGCTCTTAACCGCTGAGCCATCTCTCCAACCCCAACAACATCTTTTCATACTAAAAAATGTAGTGATATTTTGTTTGTAATCTAACAAATAAAGCTTGCCCAAAGATCAGAGTGCAGGGATAAGCCACTAGTTAGCCATAGAGGCCAAGCAGTGCTGGCACACACCTTTAATCATAGCACTCGGAAGACAGAAGCAGACAGATCCCTGTGAGTTCAAGGCCACCCTGGGCTACTTGAGGTTGACTCTATCTAAAGGGAAACAGAGCTCACACAAAGCTGATCCCAGCACTTGGGATCACATGCCTTTAACCCCAGCACTACAGAGATGGAGACAGGAATGGGCAGAGAGAGGAATATAAAGCAGGAAGAGACAGGGGCTCGGATTCAGTCTGAGGATTCGCAGGGACAGATCGCCCTCTTTGGTCTGAGCAGTGGTAGAGGTAAGAACTCTAGTGGCTGCTCTGCTTCTCTGATCCCTCGGCTTTCACCCTCTGATAACTGACTACAGGTTTTTATTATTAAGAACAATTAGAATTTGTGTTACAAAAAACTGTCAGGATCTGCCAAAAATTTTCAAGTCATAGATCCCACATGAAATGTAAACCACAATGATCTATGTGTCCAGAGGATTTGGGTTTCAGTAGAAGCAATAAGAAGGCTAGTGAAGGACTACACAGTTAGGGGACACAAAAGGACAATCATGCCACTCAATGGAGGGTGAGCTCCTTGAGAGCGGAAAGACTGCGCTCAATCCAGTTTTGCATTTATGTTTATTATTATGTGGGTATGTATGACACATGTGTGGCACATACATGGTGCCATGGTGCATGTGTGGAGGCCGAAGGACAACTTTTTAATGTGGGTTGTCTCCTTCCACCTTTATATTGAGTTCAGGGATCAAGCTCAGGTTTCTAGGCTATCTTGGCAAACCTGACCCTTACCTTATTAAACACAGAGCCTAAACCATTAAGCTTTATTTCATTAAGCCAATTGCACTCTCCTCATTGGGATTCATTGGGAAGGGGGATGAGTGGGAGGCTAAAGAAAAGGGAATCTCGCTTCTGGTCTATGCTTGCTTCAAAATATCTTGTATTTTTATAAGGAATCTATGTTATCTATCCAAGTATAATTTGTGAATTACCCCATCCCTGCAAGTTTCACTCTTAGTAGTTGCAGTGCTGTAATCCTAGCTATATGGGTGGTGAGGCAGGAGGATCACAAGCTCAAGGTATGTCGGGGCCACAGAATGGTTCAAGGTCTATCTGGACAACTTAGTGAGACTTGTCTAAAAATACATACATACATACATACATACATACATACGATAAATAGCTGAGGTAGATCAGTGGTACAGCATGAGAGAGGCTCTAAATTTAGTACCAGTAAAACACACACAGAGGTACACACACATGCAGTAAAACACACACAGAGGCATCCACACATGCACATTCATGCAGCAACTTTCTTCACCATACTGCAATTCTGCAACTTTGACCCAAGGGTAAATGATAGTCTGGAAACCCTTTGGGACACACTGGGGTTGCTAAGGGATGCAGGCTGGTGGCTTGTCTTCAGCCACTGTTGGGTCCTTAGAGGACAGGCCTTGGCACCCCCACTTGATCTGTTTTGCACTCTTGTGGTTGGTTGAAAACAGGAACGAAAAAAAGGAATAATCTGTTGTTTTCAGCAATGTTTCTAAGGATGTTTATCCCTAAACCATTGAGTTATGGTGATGAGCTTCCTGCTTTTGCTGGCTTGGCCTCCCCTGCTGAGGGCTATATCTACTGTGTGAGAAAGTGGAATAGAGGCTTGTCTGTAGAACCTGAAGTTGTATTGTGTGTTAATCCCAACGTTCCTTGCTCAGAAGAACAATGGTTGCCGTGCTGGCGTGGCAAGCCACCTGTCCAGCTTTAGAGTTATCATAGGTAGAAGGCAGGTCCTAATGCAGGCAGAGCACATGGGATGGTACCCACCTAGAATGAATTGGTTAAAACATTGACCAAAAGCAACTTTTGGGAGGAGAAGGTTTTTTGGGCTTACATCCTCCAGTTCACAGTCCCACTCTGAGGGAAGTTAGGGCAGGAGCTGAAGCAGAGACCACGAGGAAACCGCAGTGCCTGGCTTGCTCACTTTACTCTCTAATGCAACCTGGGACCACCTGCCCAGGGGTGGCACCACCCACACTGGGCTGGGCCTTTCCACACCAACCATCAATCACGACAATATCCTACAGACTGGCCCACAGCCCAATGTGATAGAGGCATTTTTCTCAGTTGAGACTCCTGTTTCCCACAGCCTCCAGCTTGTGTAGAGTGGACAAAAGAGCTATCCAGCACATGTGGATTTGTGCTCTCAGTCTATTAAAAGAAAGGCTGGATATGGCAGTGCCTGGTCCCCTGAGTTGTGGCCTTCTACTTACTCACCATTAGTGATTTTTTTTAGGATGACAAATGACATCTTTGAATCAACTGCACAATAGCTTCCCCAGCTTGAATTTCTAGTATTCTTCTTCTTTTTTTTAGATTTATTTATTTATTATGTATATAGTATTCTGCCTACATTCATGCTTGCAGGCCAGAAGAGGGCACCAGACCTCATTATAGATGGTTGTAAACCACCATGTGGTTGCTGGGACTTGAACTCAGGACCTATAGATGAGCAGGCAGTGCTCTTAACCACTGAGCCATCTCTCCAGCCCTCTAGTATTCTTCTTAAACTTTCCGCAGTTCTCTGAACCACAAGCACTTAGTGTTAGGTCTTAAGTGTGGATACATAGCAGTTCATGGAACAGAAGTCTGTGGGGATTGCCCTCCTCTAGACTCCTCTGCAATTGGTTTGGGGTGGGGTGCTTCCAATAAAGCCTGGAGGGTCAGATGTATAGAAGCTGGGGTTAGCAACTAGACCTCTGTAGATGGCAGGTGGAGATTACCAGGCACGTCACTGGACAGTCAATGTGAAATTCTTCTTTGCACAACTATGCCAATTAGTTAGGCAACTGGGGTGGTGACAGTGGTGGTGGTGGTAGTGGTGGTCACTGAAACGGTGCTCTGCTCTGAACCATATCGGTAAAATTTAGTTTAATAGAAGTTAAGGGAACGAAAAAAAGAAATAAAAAGGAAAGAGACATGATGCTCCTAGGTATGGTGGGGAGAAAATTTATTATAGATGTGTGGGAGAGCATAGCCAGAGGCAGGGACACTTGTGAGAGCCCAGAGAGGCTCTCACCAGACTGTGCTGGGCCATGCGAGGAGAGGAGGAGGATGGGGAAGAGAGAGAGGAACCAACTGCAGTTAACCGGTAAATGAGGCCCGCGGGGTGGGGGGTGTTTAGGGGGGGCAAAATGGTTGATTACTTAAGGAATGGCAGTCCAGCCCCAAGGATGGAATTTAGGGTAGGGGACAGGGTATGCAAACACAGGAGGACCCTGTTACAGGTAGGGGTTGAGGGAGGCAGAGACAACTTGGTGGTCAATGTCTGCTTTGATATGTTAAGTAGGCACCTCAGCCGTTTGCCCAAGGCTGGTGTTTAAATCCTTTACCTCAGAGTGCAGTTTCTCAGGGAAGCTATTTGACTGTGTGACTAGTCGCCTGGGCAAACTTAGACCCTGAGTGGGGTGTGTATTTCTTGTCGTTGCATTTATCAACACGTGTAAATTAAACATCAAGAAGGAGAAAATCCTGACTGAAGCCTTTACAATACCATATAATGATATGGATAAAAGACGCTTTTAAGCATTTTAAAAAGCATTCAATAAAACGTGCACGTTTAATAAAACATGAATTTAAATAACTTGGCGGACTTTAGGCACGTGTAATAGATTGCAAGCTGGCAGTTTCTTCTCAGCGCCGTACCTAAACAGACTGGGCAGAAGGCTAGAATCAGGACGCTTTTAGCACAGCTGAGGGTCCCTACAACAGCCCAGCAGGCATCCAGCCCGAAAGCGGAAGTTCCGGAGTCCGCCCCGGCCCTCCCGGCTTGCGTCAGTTCCGGGATCGGTCCAGGCCAGTCAGTACGCAGCTAGGGCTACAAAGCTATGCCACCAGGTTCCTAGCCGGCTGCATTTTGGCGCCGGGCCCTCAGCATGGCTGCCTCCAGGGTTGAGGGCTGGGGAGCTGCCACACCCTCGTTTTGCTGACCCGTCTCTGGAGTCTGTGTTCTTCTTGTCTTTCCTGGGCCACACTAGCAGACATGTTCGCTAAGGCCTTTCGGGTCAAGTCCAACACGGCCATCAAGGGGTCGGACAGGTGAGGGAGAAAATGCTTTTGCTTCACCTAAAGAGGTCCCTACACATCTAGGGGTGCACATGGAGAGGAGACCCCCCCCCCAGGAAGCCAAGCAGGGACGTTAGAAACATTTTGGGGATGAGGTGTGGGGGTATCTTTTCTCTTCCAGATGGTCTTTTAGACAAGAAATAAAGTTTAGTCTATGTGCCCTGGGCTCAGACTAGGTTTTGTGGAAGATGTAAAATGAGGGAATATAGGCGCCCTGACCTCCACGGAGTTTAGAGCCAGCCTATGGGGAAACCCCGATGGGGTACCGATAACTAAAAGTATTGCGGGGAGGGGCGGGGGTGCTTCAGTGATTACTCCTGGCCGGAGAGACCTGGAGTGAGGGGGCAGAGCAGAAGTAAGCCGTGGTTAAGAGATTCCTCCTCGGGAATTTTGGAACCAGCTTTCTTTAGGTGTCCTTCTTGGTGCCATAGTGGCCTTTTAATCGTAAGTTGACAGACTTGTCAACTAGTCTGAGAAAGGAGTGGGGAAGGCATGTGAGGTCAGAATGGCTGGGTTTCTGGGTGAGACTCACTTTGAATGTTCACCGAAGACCAGTGTGGAATGAGAAGCCTAGAAAGTTGTGGAAATAGACGAGATAATGAACAGGAAAGAGAATAGAATCCTTAAGCCAGGCAGTCAGCAGCCTTCTTTATAGATGATTTTTATAGTCATTCTGTATTTCAGTATTTATTAATGTCCGTCAGGAAGATGGTATTAATGGTGCCGGTGTACTTTCTGCAGGAGAAAACTTCGGGCCGATGTGACAGCTGCTTTCCCCACCCTTGGAACAGATCGGGTCTCTGAGTTGATCCCTGGAAAGGAAGAGCTAAATGTCATGAAGTTGTATGCCCACAAAGGAGATACAGTGACTGTGTACATGAGTGGTGGTAACCCCATCCTGTTTGAACTGGAGAAAAATTTGTATCCAACAGGTATGGCAACAAGATAGAAATGCCCAGACTACAGTGCTGTGTAACGTTTGCTACTCTCTGTTGATTTGATTTGATATATATATATTTTGTTTTCCACATTGCCCTGCCTTTTCAGATAAAATCAACACAGAATTTCTCCTAAAGATCTTTTCAGATCTAGTGTTCCTAGAACGGAGCTTTTCAAGACCAGAAATTGACCTCAAAGAGATTTTAAAAAAATATTTTAAAAAATAAGTAAAACTTTAGAAAGAATGACAGTTGTAAAGTTCTCTGGTAGAGGAGCATGGAGTATTTGGGAGAGAGCTGAGGTGACGATAAAGATGGAATCTCAGGGCGTGTAAACTGCCTGGCAAAGGCTTTGAAAAAAATCTAGACTGGGGAATAAGCTGGATTAATGAAGCTACCCAGCTATGTTAGTTACACACTTCACGTGGGCTGCTCCACAGTGGGTTTTCTACGCTCTGTTTGGTAGTCTAAGATTCTCTGCCTCATGTGGGCTGCTCCACAGTGGTTTTTCTGGGCTCTGTGTGGTAGTCTAAGATTCTCTGCTTCACTTCACGTGGGCTGCTCCACAGTGGGTTTTCTACGCTCTGTTTGGTAGTCTGAGATTCTCTGTTGTTTTTTTTTTTTTTATAGTCTTTTCCACAGATCTCTTCTTTTCCTTAGCGGCTGACACCGGTCACTCGGGGCTTGTCCTCCAAGGTTGTCTGGCTGCAGCAGAGCAAGGCACTCTCCATAGGCCACTCCTATCTTTCCTTCCAGTTTGCTGCTGTACCTGAAGACAAATAGACAAAAATAGAGACTTTTTTTTCCCCTTCAGGAGTTTTATGCTAATCACTGTGAAAAAGGAACTCAAAATATAAACATGAGAAAGTTTTACAGAATGGCTTTGGAGTCAGTTGCTTCTGAAATCATGCTTGGGAAGCCTCTTTGGTTTCTGCCCCAAGTTTTAGTTCCCTATGACCATTTTCTGCTGGCAGTCCCAAAGCAGCAACGGGGCCTCCATGACTCAGTGGTAACTAGTCTCCAGGTGTCAGTGGGTCAACAGGTACCTCCATGTCTCAGTGGTAACTAGTCTCCAGGTGTCAGTGGGTCTCTACTTTCGTCCTGAGGGCAGTCTCCCTGGCAAACCCCTTTAACCTCTCTCACCTTGAACTGGGGTGTTTTTGTTTCTCTTTCTGAATTCTGATTAAAGTGTTAGATGTTTCTGGATCTGTGAGCGTGGTGCTGGGTGTGTCTGGATCTGCAGTGGCAGTATTTGTAAGTGTTTCCTGGGTCTCTTTTGGTACAGTGTACACACTGTGGTCCTATCCTGATCTTCTACCAACGTTTACAACATGGCCTCTGGTACTCGAAAAACTGGTCGGGGGAGCAGGTAAGAGAATTTTTCTATGTTCCAGCAATGGCTTGAAATGTCTTCAGTAATTATCAGCCACCTTAATAAGGCTACTCATTTCTTGTGTTCATATGTTGAAAACTCTCCCAACCCCTTTGTGTATATGTGTGTGTGTGTATGTGTGTATCTGTCTCTCTCTCTATCCTCCTCCTCTATCCTCTTTCCCTCTCTCTTTCTGTATATGCCAATCTCTATCTCTCTCTCTCTATTCTCCCTCTCTCTTCCCCCTCCCTTTCTCTCTCCCTGTGTGTGTGTCTGTGCTTGTGTGCGTGTGTTTGTGTTTGTCTCTGTGTATGTGTGTGTTATTTATTCCACTTAGCTGATTCCATGAGTTCTCTGGACAGTTCTGGTTGTGTTTTAAGCCTTTTATAAGTAAAATGAAAGCAGTTTGTAAACTGCCGGATGCTGTACTTTCAATCAATAGGGAACTTTAGCAAATAAGCACCTGGTGCTTCTATTGTGAGTCCTTTGTCAAGTGGTTGGGTGTATGATAAAGTAAAGCATGAAAAAAAGTTGGACATTAAGTAAGCTGTTTGTTATGTTTTTATCTGCTACAGATTTGATGCTGCCAGGGGTAGTGGTGCCCCCTACTGGTCTGCCTCCCGTACAGCAAGGTGACCTCTGTGCCATTGCCTTGGTGGGGAACAGGTACTACGCCAGACAGCTGTGCCTTGTGTGTGTGTGTGGGGGGGGCATGTGGTGCAGAGGAACAGAGGTATAAAGGAAGTGGAGGAAAATGACAGTTTTCAAAAACACATGGACCAAGGTCTGAAAGAAAAAATAGGTTCTTCCGTAAGAAGCAGATAGTGGGCCCTTTGGTAGATATCAGTGAGCCTGTGGAGAGTGTGAATCTGAGCATAAGATATTTGCTGTGCTGAAGTTTGAAAAGTTATTTTATAGCTAATTTTAGAATTATAGAAGAATGTAAGAGATGGTATAGAGTTCTGATACACACCATGATTCCCAACATTCTCAGTGGCCACATCTCATGTAACCCATTGTAGTTACCACTGCTGAGTGTTGTTCCACACTGTTGGGACAGTGCTGTGAACACACTCGAGCCTTTCTTTATCTGTATCCCTGCAGATTGTGTGTGTGTGTGTGTGTGTGTGTGTGTGTACACCTCTTTCCCTCCAAGGATCCAGGCTAGGCTATCCCACTGCACTTAGCTGTCCCTTCTTCCAGCCTCTTCTGCATGTGGCGTTCTCTCGTGCATGTGGCGTTCTCTCGTGCATGTGGCATTCTCTCCTGCATGTGGCGTTCTCTCCTGCATGTGGCATTCTCTTGCCTTTTGTCTTTCGTCATCTCCACATCCCCTCAACTGCGAAGTTATCTGTATCTTTAATAACTCGATGGAAGCATAGTTTACTTAAGAGTCTGCCTATCTTCAGTCCACAGTCAGATGGCTTTTAGCATGTTTGCAGAGCTGTTGAGCCATTACCATGTTGCTGTGTTTGATTCCAGGGCTCATGCCTTCCAGGCAAGAACTTTGCTGTTTTTCCAGCTCCTACTGCTTCTCTTACAAAGGAACCAGGAGTCAGTGTATGAACAGATCAGTGAGGAGACTCTGCCTAACCCTCATCTCTGGATTCCTTCTAGAGCTCCTGTAGCAATCGGAGTGGCTGCCATGTCTACAGCTCAGATGCTGGCGTCAGGCCTGAAGGGGAAGGGCTTCTCTGTGCTCCACACTTATCAGGACCACTTGTGGTGGGTGCATTGTTTATTCTGTTATGGGGGTGGGTGTGTGGGGAGAACACGATGAGCCTGAGATTCAGAAGTGCAAGTATTGGTGTGTGCACATCCTCGTGCAGCCTGTGGACCCCAGACTTCCATCCACTTGCCAAATGTGGGAAAATACATTTTCTTCTCCAGACAAGAAATTAGGGACAGCTTTGGTTATTTTCTGGGCCAGGAATTGTCCCAGACAATGCTCTAGACTTAGGAATTGTTTACCCTGCCCTTTATTGTGGTTTAGTCTGACTTTGTCCATTATGTGCATTTTAGACATCATTTGGTCCTGAGACAAGCGCTTCTGATTCCAGACCAGTTGTCTGACAGCAGGATGATAACTAACTTTATGCTGCTCGAGTATCACGTTTCAGATCCCTCACCATGGACACACTCTCTAGCTGTAACAATTCATTCTAGATCCACATGCCTGCTCCTTGTCTGGTTCATGTCACTTTCCCCAAACAGGAAACAGTGTTTTTCTCAAAAGCAGCAGAACTAGGTTTTCTGTGGGGATGTGCTAGGGTAGGGAAGCTTGAGATGGGGGTCTCATTACGTAGTTCAGGCTTACCTAGAACTTGAGATGCCCTAGTCTGAGCTTCCTGAGTGATAGGCTTGTAGGCATATGCCGCTAAGGCTGGTTCTGTAGTCAAGTGTCTGCTGGTGTAGATCATTCTTTGGATTTTCTTTTATCTTTTGTGCTTTTTCTTTGGTCTCTGTCTCAGACTGTCTGTTAATAATATAAGCAATCATTTCCTTGAGATAAGTAGGGAATGAGTATCAGTCCCCATTTAACAGATGACAAAGCTGAGGCTGGACTTTTCTGGGCCCAGGATAATTGACTAGAGATGAGTGTGCATCACTTAGATGTCCCGGCTACTCCTGCCTACTGGCTCTACTGGCTTTGAACACCTAACTGACTCTTCCCTGACCAGGGTGGGTGAGTATCGTGGCTACTGCTTGGTGTTTCTGACATCAGATTTTTCCAGGAAATCTGGAGACAAGTCTGCTCCACCTGCCATTGCCCCATTGGCAGTGAATCCCACAGATAGCAATGAAGAGAAGGTGGACCTTGGTCTGCAAGGAAGCCTGAGCAGCCTGACCCTGGAGGGAGAGGAGGAGAACAGGAAGGTTCATCACTCAGAAGCCTCTGAAGACACCAGCTCTGGGGCCGTGAGCCAGGATTCTTCGGATAGCAAGCCCCTTCAAGGTGTGAAAGCCCACACCTGTCCTTCAGATTGGAGTGCCCTGGTGCTCTGGGAGAGGAGCACAGAACCCTTACTTGGGGTCATGAAATAGTTCTGTATTCCTTCTTCCATAAACCATGCCCCTGGGTGCCTGTCTGTCTGTCACATAGTTTCTGGCTATGAACCCCTAGGGCTTCTGGTTCTGACTTCTCTGAATGAATGTTATTGGCTTGGTGGCTCTGTGGGTTTGGTCCTTCCTGTGGGGCTAACCCTTTCGGGATCAGTGCTCAAGAGTTTGTAAGGGGCCAGTGAGGTGGCTCAACAGGAGACCAAGCACTTACTGTGAACCTGGTCACCTGAGTTCAATCCCTGGAACAACCCATGGCGAAAGAATTGACTCCTGAAGCCTATCCTCAGACTTCCACACTTGCTGTAGTATGTGAGTGTGCGTGCACACACACGTGTTCACACACACATCCACTTTTTAAAAAGTCTGCAGCCCTGGAGCATTGGTGCCTAGGAATGGAGTCCACCTGAGCTGAGGTGATGAGGGTGGGATGGAGAGTTTGCAGCGCCCAGGCAGCGAGGGAGCCTCAGGGAGGGTGTGGTTTTTTTTCCTTGCAGAGCAAATGGATGAGCTGTTACAGCAGTGCTTCCTGCATGCCTTGAAGAGTCGAGTCAAAAAAGCCGACCTCCCTTTGCTCACCAGCACTCTCCTGGGCAGTCACATGTTCTCCTGCTGGTACAGAAGGCGCTGCTATGGGTGGGGGCTGCAGACAAGGCCTCGCTGTTCTTGTCGGTAAAGCCACACAGGGGTGGGGCTGCTTGAGTGACATGCTGTGCGAAGGGCCGAGCAGAAAGTTGATCTGGAAGGTAAATTAGGTTCTTGGCTTCAAAACCTTCAGTTTTACCCAGGGAAAGAATAGTAAGGTTAAAGTTAAAAGTCCCAGTATTCTTTGACTGCTATTTCTGCCAAGGTGTTTCTGGGCCGTCTTTCATGAGTCAGGTACTGTGGCATACACAGCAGGAGTCCCTGAACAGCCTTTGTCAAGAAGTTTTCTGTACCGTTCCACCCTTCCCACTTAGGAAAAGTTGTGCCTGGAAGAGAATAGAGATGAAGCCCACCTCTTTGAGAATGTAGCCAATAGGAAAGGGAGTATTGACTTTGATGCTGGAGCCACCAAGGTTCAGCTGCCACCTCCTTAGCATATTTAACCAAAGCAAATTGCAGGCAGTCACAGGGTTTTTCTGAGCCCGAATTTCTGATACTTCTAGGATTATTGTAAAGGTGCACAGCCTGGCATATACCAGACACCTGTTAATACTGTGAGAGCAGGGTCTTTTCTGCATCCCCCATAACCTGGTACTGTGGCCCACACCTGTAATTCCAATCCTTAAGAGGCTGAGGTAAGAGGATAGCAGTGAATCCAAGGCTGGCATGGGCTGTGGAGTGAGTTCCAGATCAGCCTGGGTTACAGTGAGATTCTGCCGGGGTGAGGGGAGGGGGAGAGAACAAAGCCATCCCTATACACATATGCATACACACAGCCTTCTCTGTCTCACAGTGGGTGGTGTGTTGTTCCTGAGACTCTTGTGGTGTTTTGAAAGTAGTAATTAATCCAATCAATCTCTTCTGTCTACACATGGCCTTAAGGCACCCAGGGCAACTGTGGCATTGGGATCCTTGGTAATTTGTCTTGCCCATGCTGAGTTGCAGGTGACTGGGAAACTGTCGCAGGATTTTTTCTTGGGCAGGCATTAGATTAGAGTGGGCTCTAGGACAGTCCTCCTGAGAGTCACACTGCTATGGAATGTTGGGTTTCAAGAGAAGATGTAAGTTCCTGAGGAGAGGGAAGAGTCATAGTTTTCATTAGGAACCTCTGTCCTCCCCTACTCTGAAGCTGCACAGGCATCAGTAGACTGTAAAGAGCCAGATAGTAAGTAATTTAGGTTTTTCAGGTCATGTGGCCTCTGTTTCAGGTCCACTGCCATTGTACACTAATGTGACCAAAGACAACAGATAGTGCTGGGTGTGGCTGGCTTAGTTAGGCTATAGACCTGACTTCCTCACTGTGAGCTTGCAGCTGAGGCCATAGGAGACTCTCTGGTTTGAGAGAACTCTAAAGCTGTGTCTGATTACAATAGTCACTAATCACATGTGGCCCATTAAGTTTAAAATTCAGGTCCCTGGTCCCCCAGTCTCAGTTGGTACATTTCAAGTGTTTCATAGGCGCATGGGTGACTAGTGGTTGCCGTATTAGACGCCACAGAAGTGCTATTGGGTAGTCCTGACTCCGTGTCTGTCTCTGACACCACAACTGGGCAGAGAACTCCAGAATGCTAGCCGCTTTTTGACAGCTGAGGAAAAGGTCACTTTTGTGTCAGGCAGGTATCAAAGTTTACTGTTTGGTTTAATTTGCCGTTTTATCTGTCTTAGCCCCGAAGGACAGCAACTGGATATAAAGAAGTCAAGCTACAAAAAGGTCAGAGCCTGTACCTTCCTTGCATGTCTGTACAGTCATGTAGGAATGCATGTGAGAGAAGATGGATGGGAACCCCTGTAGACAGTGCTCAGTCTAGAACTAAGAGGGAGTAATGAACCTGTCCTTGGGCCAAGGCACCAACTCCTCTCTCTCCTTCAGCCCCTTTCTATTTGAATAGAGTCTAACAGACTTAATCAGTTTAGCAGTTTCTTTTTTAAAATTAATTTTATTTTTAACTACGTATATATGTATGAGTGCTGGTGCCAGAGGAGGCCAGATGTCTCTAGGGCTGGAGTTACATGCAGTTGTGAACCATTGAACGTGGGTACCGGGAATCATACTTGGGCCCTCCACAAGAGCAGTATGATCTCTTAACCACTGAGCTGTCTCTCTAGCCCCCAGTGTGAGCTCTTGACTCCTGAGCCATCTCTCTAGCCCTCTAGTGGCTTCTTGCTCCCCAACTTGTAGGAGTGTGTGTTGTCTTTTGGTTCTTAGTCTAATGGCAGCAAAAACTGGGTCCTGGTGTTCAGTCGCTCCCTCGAACCAGGCCCTGGTGTTCCATGTGTGGAGTCAGTGAGGTCCCTATACTGACTTCTCTCCCCAGCTCTCTAAGTTCCTGCAGCACATGCAGCAGGAACAGATTGTCCAGGTCAAGGAGCTGAGCAAAGGGGTGGAGAGCATTGTGACTGTGGACTGGAGGCACCCGAGGTAAGTGTGGGGCCTGTCACTGTATGCAGCTCAGTTGGTTTGGGGACACTGGACCACAGATTGGGGGCTACCAAGGCACTGGCATAACATGTGCTTTTTCTTTTCTCCTGCTGGGTTTTAGGATCACATCTTTTGTCATCCCCGAGCCTTCCCCGACTTCCCAGACTGTGCAGGAGGGTAGCAGGGAACAGCCCTATCACCCTCCAGATATAAAATCCCTCTACTGTGTCCCAGCCAACATGACCCAGCTCTTCCAGGAGTCTGGCCACAAGTGAGTTTTGGAGAGCAGCCCTTTTCTGCCTACATGGTGTCTGCCTGCACTTTCCTCTCATCCTGAGCAGTGTTTTCCTGTGCCTGGCAAACCTGCTCTGCCTGCCTTCCTTCTAAAGGTAGTGTCTCACCTTTGGGTCAGGAAAGTGAGAGAGTAGGCCGCTTTACCTGCAGTTGCACATCACGCAGCCCCGCTTGCTCCCTCAGGAAAAGAGGAGAAAGGCAAGAGCCAAGGAAAGGCCTTGTTTGAATGTTTGCAGGTGGTCCTCAGATACAGTGTGGATTGAACTCTGGTTGCTTCTCTTCTCCTAGGAAGGGGAGCACCCTTGAGGGCAGTGAGGTCCGAAGGATCATCGTTGACTATGCCAAGAGGAACAACCTGGTGGATGCAGATAACAAAAAGTAAGTGGGCACCAAGAATGGAGTCTGTCTGTCAGGTCTTCCTTCCAGCAGACAGACGTTAAAGGATGCAGGAAACGGGCTGGCAGGGTGGTTCAGTGAGTGAAGGACCGCGTGCTGCCAAGCCTGGCTGCCTAGCTCCACCGTTAGGACCCACAGGGTCGAGAACCAACTCCTGCAAACTGTTCCACATGCATGCTTAGCACCGTGCACTTGCAGACACACAGACAAATGACTGTAGCAACTTTAAAAACAAAGGACGGGAAGGATTCTAGAATGGAGAATAGACAATCACAGCAGCTTGGAAATAGGCAAGCCCAGTGTTTGCCAACCATGGACTGTGGACACAGGCTGCCGTCTAGAGGCTCAGGTCTATACATGCTCTCCGCATTGACCATTGACTGAATACGTACATCCCACACATCTGCCACTGATGTTCAAGGGCATATGGCTGTTGTCAAGAAAAATGGAACCTTGAAACAATATTTAACCACAGTCATTGTACCCTTTCGGTGTGATTTTTCTTAAAAACGGGCACAGGTGGCATGCTAACAGAAGAGTCGCACTAGTGTTTTCCTTTCTAGACATCCTCAGGATTAAAGAGAGAGACCTACATACTATCTAGTGCCCACTTTTAAACAAGTTTTGTTATTTATTTTAAATTACTATCTGTGGTGTCAGGACCTATGGAAAGCTAGCTGTGCAGTCTACCAACACACCTGCAGCCTAAGTTACCACTTACCTACATGGGCCTCTGGGGTGTTATGTAACAGCTTAGTCCATGCACACACTGTGACTGTAGCATTTAGCATTTACATCCTTCCTTCCTTGCTAACGTGCTGACAGAAATTAAGCCTTAAAAGATATGGTCACACAGCAGAACTGAGTCAAGAATCCTGGTTGCTCCTTCCCACATTTCTTCCCCCATTTGCTTCTCTTTGGCCTCCCAATGACCTCTGGTCCCACAGCTGAGTGATCCTGGGTGACAGAGTACGCAGGTGATCATTGCTGTCACTTTGGAATGGTTAAGCCTTGCATTGCCTTAATGCCTCTTTATCCCTGTAGTCTGGTGAAATTGGATCCTATCCTCTGTGACTGCCTCTTAGAGAAGAATGAACAGCATGTGGTCATGAAGCTTCCGTGGGACGGTCTCCTGACCAGGTAATGGGCTGGTGGGACGGTCTCCTGACCAGGTGTCAGGGGCTGGTGGGACTGTCTACTGACCACGTGTCAGGGGCTGGTGGGACTGTCTCCTGACCAGGTGTCAGGAGCTGGTGGGATGGTCTCCTGACCAGGTGTCAGGGGCTGGTGGGATGGTCTGACCAGGTGTCAGGGACTGGTGGGACTGTTTCCTGACCAGGTAAAAGGACTGGCAATCTCTCTTAACTTTCCTGCACCACCACCCTTACCTCACAAGCCTGAGCACTGAGTTCGAGTCCTCAGAACCCAGGTGACACCAGGCACACCTCTGGTCCTTCTATGATGAGATGGAGACAGACACAGGAATCCCTGGAAGCTTGTGGGTCAGATAACCTCATGTATGCAACTGTGAAAAACAAAGGGACCATGTTCCAAAGAGGGCGGAAGGTGAGGACTGCCTCGTGAGATTGTTCTTTGGCCTCCACACAAGCAACCATGCCATCCAGGTGCCTGCACTCATTCACACGAGCACACATAAACATGTACATGCAGTCACTTCCTACACACAAAAGACCAAGTCAAGAATGCATTGATGGAACACGAGAGAAATGTGAACACTTGGAGGCAGGAAGCTGGAAAGGTGTGTTTTTGAGACAGGTAGTAACATTCACAAAGCAAACAGCAGATTCCCAGGAGGCCAAGCAAGTGGAGAATTTCTAGGCACTCAGGCCACTATTGTTCGCTTCCCTGAATCAGAGGATGTTAACCTTGGAGAGCTTTGAGACACTGAGTTCATTGGTCTGTGGTTCTGCTCCCCCCACCCCCAGGTGCCTTCAATGCTTCTAACCTGCAGCTAGACTGCAAATAAGTGTGCCTCAAAAACTTGCACTCAGTGCTTATGGTAGCAGGGTACAGAGAGATGCCGGCTGCTGCCTTGACCTATTTATAACTGGAACTGTTACATTTTAGGTGTTTGCAAAATATGCAGCCTGCCTACCAAGTCACATTTCCTGGACAGGAGCCCATCCTGAAGAAAGGGAAACTCTGTCCGATTGACATCACCCTTGCACAGAAGTCTTATAATAAAAAGGTAATTTAAAAATTACTGGGGTAGTGGCTGTGACTCAGAGGCAGAGCATTTGCTTCACCTGTGCTAAGACCCTGGGTTCCCTCCCTACCACCACCCAAAGGAGACCCAGTGTTTGAGAGTGGTGGCTTAGTTTCCCTGCTAAGTTCTAGTTTCCTGATATGATTGGAGGCTTTTGGATTGGCTGGCTCACGCTGTGTGCTTGCGCTGACCCTGGATGAGGGGTATCATTAAACACTACCCTCTACCCTCTGGTATTTTGTAGTAAGAAACTTGCTAGATAGAACCTGTTTCAAAAGTGAATAGTATTTTAGTTTGAGTTTTTCCTTGGCGCTACTTCCTAGGCCTTTGTCCTTACGCAGTTCACCTCTTGGACCTTGCTCAATTAAAATAGCTTGTAAAAATTTGCTGAAGAAACTGTTTAGCTTCGCAACACAAAGTTGTAGAGAACAAATTATAACTGCTTTCAAAATGCTGTCTTCTGCAAAAGGAGTGTCCTTGTTCCAGTTAGAAACCCTGAGAACACAGGCTTGGGCTCAACACAGAACTATCAGCGTATGTGGTTCTGGTTCAGGATCTGGGCTTTGGAATTCCAATGTGACCTTTTCTCTTCTCTTGACCTTGAGACCTACTGCCTCAGTTTCCTTCTGTGAAAAATGGAGGTAGTACCTGCCCTGTACTTCAATGACCAAATGAGGGCTGTATGTAGGCTAAGCACCTAGCAGGAAGCAGTCCCTAAATGAAAACCAGTCATGGTAACCTTAATTAGCAGCAATTACATGCCAGGCAGTATACCAAACACTTTTGTGTATATGAAGCATGATCTTTTATTAATAATAGACTGTCCAGAGATGAAGCTAGTGTTACATGAATTGATGAGTTTTTTTTCTAGAAGTCTGCAAAAAAAGATTTTTGTGACCACTTGTGGGGAGATAGAACCAGAGTCTCAGGGAGGAAGCTGGCTTTCTAATGTGACCTCAAAAGCCTCGCTGAGTCTAAGCTTGTGTCTGCAGTCCTTGCAAGGACAAGGCTGTTTTAAAGAGGGTTACCCTTTGTCATCTCTAGTCGTGAACTAGAGAAGCTGTTGAGGGCCACAGGAGGAGGGCTATAATTTCACATATTTAATTTTGTGTGTTGTGTTTGCCACATGCATGTCTGTACCACTGGTGGCCTGGTGCCTATGGAGGTGAGAAGAGGGCATCAGATCCCCTAAGACCTGTGTTACAGACACTTGGGAGCTGCCATGTAGGTGCTGGAAACTGAACCTGAGTTCTCTGGAAGAACAGTCAATGTTCTTGACCCTGAGCTATCTCTTGAGCCCAGGATTGTGGCTCGAGATTTTTAAAAAGGATTTATTTATTTCTATTTTGTGTGTATGGGTTTTCCATCTTCTTGTATGTCTTAATACTACTTGTATGCAGTTCTCATGGAGGCCAGAAGAGGCCTTTAGATTCCCAAGGGAATTGGAGTTAGAGGGTTTTGAGCTGCCCTGTGGGCATAGGGATTGAACTTGAAGAGCAACAAGTGCTATTAATCACTGAGCCGTCTCTCTAGCCCTGAAAGTGATTTAAAAAGAAAAAAAAAATGAACACTTTGCTTTTTGTCCTGAAGTCACATTTTCCCCATGTGTTGCTCTCATGTAAAAGCACTATGTGTTTGACTGACTATGTGATTTTAAGGAACTGCTGTTAGGTACAAAATACTTTATTATCAACAACATCATCATCATTCGGGTCGGGAAGGGGAAGCATGCATGCTACAGCGTGTGTATGGAGGCCAGAGGTCAACTTTGTGGCACTGGCTCTCTCCTACCTTTTGTGGACCCCAGGTGCAGCACCTCTACCGCTGGACCATCTCACCAGCCGCTTCTGCTCTTGTATTTGGAGCAGTCCTTACCTTGCACGCCGCTAATCCCAGCATTCAGGAAACAGAAGCAGGTGGATCTCTGTGTCAATGAGAGACACAGTTGAGACCCTGTCTTAAAAAAAGAGAAAGAAAACATAGTCCCTAACCTTTGGAGACACATACTGCTATATTTGTATGTGAACGGTCTGAAGAGTAGGATGATTTGCCCTAGAGTACTCTTAGGAGCCATAAACCCAGACAGCCTGTGAGGTGACTGCTGTCGAAACTGAGGGAGGATATGTAGGATCCCATCACACTCTTGTGCTTTTTGGTGTTTTGTTTTGAGACTGGGCCTCATTGTGTAGCCTTAGCTGACCCAGAGTTTGCTGGATGTAGACTAGGCTGGCCTCAAACTTTAACTCTCAGAGATTCATCTGCTTCTGCTTCCTAAGTGCTGGGATTAAAGTATCACCATACTTAGCACCCATACTATAGTACTTTTATTTATGGCTTAAATTCTCCATAGTTAAAGAACCCTTAAATTGTATGTTATAGGTAGGACAGAGTATCTGTTAACACATATTGGATGAGATGGACAGAAAGGTACCAGGGTTACAAGGATAGAGAGCCATCACAGAACATGGGCAAGGTGGCTTGTGGAAAGGCCTTTTAGAGGAGAGAGCATACCGAGAATGCCCACCATCAGCTTTCTGTCCCCAGGTGACTGTGGTCCGGAACTTGGAGACCTATGGCCTTGATCCATGCTCAGTGGCTGCAATTCTCCAGCAGCGATGTCAGGCCAGCACCATCGTCTCTCCTGCCCCTGGGGCCAAAGACAGTCTACAGGTGCAGATTCAGGGAAACCAGATCCACCACCTTGGCCAACTATTGCTTGGTGAGTATCCCTTCTGAGAAGACACTAGCCATTCTACCAGTGTCTATACAGTCTTCTCAGTGGTGCAGAATGAGACATTCCAGAGAAACTGTACTTGGGTAAAGTATGAACTCTTCCAGAGCTAGCATTGGCTAGACAGTCTGATGAGATGCTAGGTAGTATAGCCAGAGCCCTACCCCCTGTCAGTCATGTAACCAAGATAAGGAACAACCAGAATGCCCTACGGTGCTGAGTCATTAGCTAAGGTGTCTTTTTAGCTAGATTATGTGCCTTTTCAACTTACTTTATTTTCTCTCTCGTTTTAATGATTAAAAGAATTATATGTGTATGGGTGTTTTGCCTGCATGTATGTGACTACACAGTGTGTGTGCCTGGTGCCCTCAGAAGAGGGCATCAGATCCTCTGAACCTGGAGCTGTAGATGAGAACAGTAGTTGTGAGCTGCTGTGTGGACTGAGGGAACTGAGAACCAGCTCTTCTGGAAGAGCAGCAGATGCTCTAACTGCCGAGACATCTCTCCAGCCCCTTGATTTACCATATTTTCAACTCACAGTGGGTGTAGAAGGGGATATAAACCTGTTGAGGAGCAACAGTGTGTATTCACATGTATGTACACACTTCAGTTTATAGCAGCGAGCAGGTGATGCAGCCAGAGTCTGAATCAGACCTTTGCCCTTAGAATCACTGCTCTTCCCATGGGACACGCGCTTAGCTTTCCTCCTGACTTCCCTTTCTAGAAATCATGTGGCAACTGCCCCAGCTGTGCTGCCACTCAGCTGGGGCTGTCAGGACCCTCCTTGGTTATAACTGCCGCAGGACTGGTGCCTGTTTGCAGATGAGGAAACCGAGGTCCAGAGAGACCCAGTACCTGCCTGGCACTCACCTGACGCAGAGTGCTGTAGCTGGGCCCTGAAGCTTTTTATGTTTAGAGCCAGAGAGAGTACTTTTGATTTTCTTTGTGTCTCTAACCTTTGCTTTGTCCTTCATTTAAGCCCTCCTCTACATTCTGCCAGGCTGACCTTTCTAAACTAAATACAAGTCCATTACTCCCATAGAAGACCTTTTGTCTTATCCATGCCCTCAGGAATAAGCTACTGAGTTTGAGAAACAAGCCCTTCCCAGCCTGCCCTATTTTTCCTGCAGCCTTCTCCCCCCTCAACCCCCACACATTCTAATTCCTTCCCAGCTAGTTTCCTGCCGTTCACACATCTACCTGCTTGTGCCTGGTTGTCCCTTTGTCTTGTGTGACCTCCCATATCCCTGGTCTGTCTGTCCTCACAGGTCCACTGGCACAGCTCAGGGGTAATGCCCATTTCTCTTTGAACATGGCAAAAATTATTAGCATTAGTGCTTCTCAGCTGTGTTGATGTTTCTGGTTAGTGTCTGGAGTTTGGCTAATTTTTTTTGTAATGTCTGAACCCTTTGCAAAATAGAACCTGAGACAGACCTTGCCTGTCCCATCCCTGTCTCACACTCAAGAGACTAACACGTAGCACATGCTCAGTAAGTATAGTTATTGCATGGCCTATGACAGTCCACAGCAATTAACTTCCACAATTGAGCTCCTTATGTTGAGAGCCGCGTGTGGTAGAATGAGACTAAGGGAACAGAAGAAAATAGATGGATACACACCTTCTCTCTTAGTATACCAAGATCAGCGGCTCTTATTGTGGGTGGCGGCCACTTGGAGGAAAACAGCCCTTTCACAGGGTCACCTAAGACCATGAGAAAGCACAGATTTACATTACGATTTATAACAGTAGCAAAGTTAGTTATGAAGTAACAATGGAAATAATTTTATGGTTGGGGGTCGCTACAACATAAAGAACTGTATTTTTTTTTTGTTTTATTTTGGTTTTTCAAGACAAGGTTTCTCTGTGTATCCCTGGCTGTCCTGGAATTTGCTCTGTAGACCAGGCTGGCGTCGAACTCAAAGAGAGCTGCCTGCCTCTGCCTCCTCCATGCCTGGGTTAAAGGTGTGCACTGCCACCACCTGGCCGAGGGATGGTATTAAAGGGTCACAGCATTAGGAAGTTTGAGAACCACTGATCTAGATGGTAACTAGCAGGGTGTAAATGACCAAAATACACTGTCCAACTACTGTGTGCAGTAAATGGTTCATCCTAGGTGTCATCAGACACTGGTGAACTTGATTAGAATGTAGAAGGCAGGTCATGTGTTGGAAATTATTGTACGGATCCTTGACAGCAGGGATGAGAACACAGGGATTTAGTGGACAGGTGGGGTCAGGAGGTTACAGGGCCCAAGGGATGTGGAAAGCAGGGAGGGGCAGTAGGGACTTGGGACCGGGCTTGGCTGAAGATTTTCTTTTTGGCTTGTAGAAGAGTATCGGCTCCCTGGAAAGTACATCCAAGGCACAGAAAAGGCCCCCAAACCTGGCAAGAAGTGACAGAATCATTTTATGCAGTGGATCCTATGGGAACCCAGGTTCTGAGCTGGTAATTGATATGAGCATTTTTAACTTTTGCAAATAAAAACTGTAATTCTTTACTGAAAGCTTTTATTCTAATCTAAATCTGAATGCCCTTATCCTTTCTTCACTGAGTCAAAATGTCCATGTGGTTTCTGTGATTTAGCTCATGCCCTGTGTAAGAGACAGAGCAGCCTGTCTGAAGGGCAACAGACAGGCTTCCTGTTCTAAAGCCCCTCTACCAGATAGACCCCAGCTCCTACTTAGTGCTTCTGGGACCTAATTAACCCCCTAGGCCTTCTAGTCCCTTCATGTCTCTGTAGGGTTTGTCCCTAGAAAACAGTGGCTGTTCTCTGTCCTCAGTCACAGCAGCAAAAAGAATTAACTTGCAGCAGCAGCAGCAGCAGCAGCAGCAGCATTTAGGTGAACAGTAAGAACAGTGAAAACAGAACATGGGTTTCTTTGTGACCATGCTTCTTCTCCAGGTGGATATAGTGTGCTACCACTAATGGCTAAGTTTGTGATGTAACTCCAAGATGGTGCTTTGTTGTAGTGACATCTTCTGAAGCTTGGGTTCATGGAAGGGCTCTTCAGTCAGTCTTCAGAGGGCTCGGATAGAGGAGCTGTCTGATTACAGAGGAGCCACTGGGTGCGAGAAATGGTCACACCATCACTCTTGTTCACCTTGCTTTGAGCAGGTCATTTCTGTATCTAGGGCTCTCCACGTAAATAAGGGTAAGAGCTGTGCAGTTGTAAACTTCTTAGAGTTCTTGGATTTTACCATTAAGAAAGAATTATTATTATTTTTCTTTCTCATCCTTTTAAAAACTGAGATAAAAGAGGCTTGCTTACCTACTGTCCACCAAATCACCCATTTTAGACCTGGAAAGAAAGGGGTGGGTGTAAAACTGTGTGTGACAGCACCCACCTCTTGTTGTGAGACGCTAATCCTTTCTCTACCAGCATCCCCATATGGAACCTGGAAGTGCCTTCTAGAAGCCACTCTAGCAGGATCCTATTACAACAGGGTGTCTCATCCTGAGGAGTGGCATGTGCAGAGCTGCCCGATGCCCCTTGCGTGCACACGGATGACACGCAGCACTGTGCTGCATTCTGGAGGGCCTTGGAAGGTGGTGCTGTAGAAATCACGACTTCCCTGCTGAAGGCACAAAGCCTGTAAGGGGATCAGCACTTCAGCACTCTGCTATGGCAGTGTGTTGTCTGGGCCTGTGCTAGGGTGTCTTTTCCAGAATAGTGATACGTTTGCACTGAATCATCTTCCTCTCTCTCCTGTGGTTGTCATGGAAATGTGGGACAGGGTGGAGCAGAGTCAGACCGCGGAATGGATTCTCTCTATGTGCTAAGCCAAATAATGTATATCAAGGTCAGATGTTGAGTTTTGAACTTATGAATGCCAAACAACAGTGAAATGGGTTCAGCGTGAGGCAGAAACCGCTCCATTCCCCTGCCCCTTGTGGTGGGTGGACAGACGGTACAGGTGTACTCAGCGACTGGCTGAGTTTTCTGTGGGGGTACACTTAACATCCCATCTTTTCCTTCCTCTCACCCCTCATATCTCCCCTCCCTCCCTCAAATGCATGGCCTCTTTTTCTTTGTGTGTGTTTCTGTGTGTGTGTGCACACATAATATAAATATTATAACACAACAAATACAGAAACTCAACCCTTTCCACTTGTTTAGTGTTACTTGAATGTATGATTTTAGGGTTGACCCCCAGGTATTGCGTAGCCCGTTACGGGGCTCAGCTCTAGGGAAGCCTCTTTCTCCCACTCTTAGCATTCCTTAGTTGATACTGTTCTTTGTCTAGCAGCGAGACCCACCCCCCCCCTTTCCCATAAGCATGGTGACTGGTGTTGTCCTTGTTCAGGTCTTGTTTAGGCTGCCGCGTTGTCGAGGTACCGTGACCAGAGCCTCTGTCATTTCTAGGAGACACAACCTCACAGCAGACATCCTGGTCCTCTGGCTCTTACATAGTCATCCCTCTTTGTAACCTTTCCTGGGCTTTTTTTGTTTCTTGTCTTTTGAGACAAGGTCTCACTATCTATGTAGCCCTTGTTGGCCTGGAACTTGCTTTGTAGACCAGGGTGACTTTGAACTCACAGAGAGCCACCTGCTGTGCCTCCTGAGTGCTGGCATTAAAAGAATGTGCCACAATGCTGAGCTAGGTGCAAGAGTTTTGTAGGTTTAGCAGTTGGTGATGGGTGTCCCATGATCAGCTGTTCTCTGCATTTTGATCTGTAGAGGTCTCTGTTACAAAGAGGTATTTCTCTGATGTGTGAGAGCGACACTTACCTGTGGGTATAAGAATAAGTATTTAAGAACAGTTGGGAATTCTGTTGGTTAAGTAAAGTAGCAATAGGAGGTTCTTTCTACAATTACTCCAGGTTATATATTCCCTTCTGAAGGTTTGGAGCTAGGAACGCAGGTGAGAACATGTAATGTCTGTCTTTCAGGATGGGGGTTACTACTTATTATGGTCTTTTCTAGTTCCATCCATTTACCTGCAAATTTCCTGGTTTCCTTTTCTTTACAGCTAGTTACAACTGTATTCCATAGTGTATTAGAGTATTTGTACCTCGTTTTCCCATCCATCCATCAGCTGAAGGGCATTTAGGCTGTTTCCATTTCCTAGCTAGTGTGAGCAGAGCAGCAATAAACATGGCTGAGCAGGTATCTGTGGAGTAGGAGGGTAAGTTTTTTTGGTGCATGCCAAGGAGTGGTATAGCTGGACAATATGGTATTTTTGTTTGTTTGTTTTTTGAAGGTTCTCCACACTGACTTCAAGTGGCTGTACCAGTTTGCAGTTCCATCAGCAGTGAATTAAGATTCCCCTTTTCTCACCTTCTGTTCAGTATTTGTTGTCAGTTTGACTGGCAAAAAAAAAAAAAAAATACAAATGCTGATTTGTATTTTCCTAAGTGCTAGGGATAATGAACAAATCTTGAAATATTTCTTAGACTTTTTTTTTTTTTTGAGAAATCTTTTTAGTTCCTTAGTCCAGTTTTTGAATGAGTTTTTTGACTTTTTGAGTTCTTTATGTAGTCTGAATTTTAATCCTCTGTCAGGTATATAGTTGGGCTTCCTCTTCACTTTATTAGCTTTAGTTTCTGGGCAGATGGAGCTCATATTTTGTAGGACACCGCTATACTTCTTCTAGCAGTTTCAGAGTCCCAGGTTTCACACTCAGGTCGGTCTTTGATTCATCTGGAGCTAGTTTTTGTGGAAGAGAATGGATGGAGTCAGGTGGTAGGAAGGAGGTCTAGGCAGGTGGGCCACGTCTGTCCTGGCCAAAGCCTGGAGGTTGGAGTCTGTGGCAGGGATGACGAGACTAGGCTGGTGCACTGAATGTGGGCTTTGGGGGACTGGCCGGACCCACCTGGCCGGACCCTGGTGTAAGATGTGGAGGACCAGGCTGGGCAGAGATGTTAGATGTCAGCTAATTCTTTAAAATTTTTGACTGTATGTCTCAAAAAACTAAAAAAAAAAAAAAAAAAAAATATTTTTTGACTGTAAACATGTGTAATGCTGCACCTTTAATTCCAGCACTCAGGAGACAGAGGCAGGTGAATCTGAGTTTGAAGGCAGCTTGGTCTACATAGTAAGTTCTAGCATAGCCAGGGGCTTACGCACAAAAATGTATGTGTACATGTGTGGGACCCCGTCTCATGCACAAAAATCTATGTGTACATGTGTCTCATGCACATGCCACAGCACACATGCAGAGGTCAGAAGAAAACTTGCAACAACCCCAGAAGGTAGGCAGTGATTTCTCTAGTTAACTTATGTGACTTTTTCTATGAATTCAAAGATGCTTCTTTGCTGGAAATCAGAGGGTGCCAAAATGAGGGCTGCTTGGTGCCAGCTCAGCCCTCTCGTGGCTGAAATCATCTGTGACACATTAACGTCTTAGTTTTAAATAATTCCAGGACAGAGCTGCTGGTTACCTTTGTAGCCAGAAAGCCCTGCTCTTTTCTAACTCAGCATGTACTTGGCCTAAGTCCTCTCCCCTCCCCAGCACTAGGGAGATAGGAGATGGAGAAAAGGCAGTGCCCTCTATGTGTGAACAGTTTTCTCAGAAGCATTTGGGTGGCAGCCTTTAATCCCAAGCTTACTACAGAAGAAAGCTTGACTCTGCCCAGAACTGTACCTCCTGCTGCAGCAGCCCCTCGCTCCAGCTCAGTTCCATAAGATGAAGTTCAAAGAGGATGCCTCCATTGTGAGTTGTTTTTGCAGTAAGCCTTTATTACTCATTAAAAAACATATATAAGAAAAAACATTTAGGAGGAAAATGTTCTCAAAACAAACACCCACCGAGCAATACAACCATAGAAGGCACTACCAGCAGTTACACCCAGCTCTGGGACTGAAGGAACTTGACCCTTCCCAGGGGCTCAACTTCAGCAGAGGTCCTGAGTCCAACTGTGCTTAAAGTCTCAATTTTACCATAATTTTCTGAATAAACACCTTTATATTTAGCTATATGCTTCTATGTGTATATACACATATATATTTGTATATATATATACATGACCTTTTTTTCTTAAAAATAAAATAGCATCCATGGAGGGAGGGAGGGTCTCAGCAGCATTCACAGTGTTTGCAGCAGGAGCCATGCCTTCTCCTATGCTACAGACATGCAGGATGAAGGGAATGACTTTCCGTCTGTTCCTGTAATACACAGGAGGGAGGGAAGAGATAAGGCTGCACACGAGATGGCAGACAGCCAGGGTTGATGGCATGCACAGCCTCACAGAGCTGCTTTGTCAACTCTGAAGACTGAATGACAAGGACCCAGCATTCCTCTGGGACAGGAGCGCTACGGACTAGCCTGAGCTAGGGAGGGGACTTTTGAGGCTACACAGAGAAGCTTGGGCTTAAACAACCCGAGGGATGTGGAAAGGCAAGGGCAACAAGAAAGTGGTCTCTTTCAGAGGCCGGATTGGAACCCTGGCCTTCTATGAAAGGGACAAGTTTTTCTCCCGCTGTCTTGAGTGAGGGTCTTTGCAGTCCTGGCTATTGTTTTCAGTTTGAACTCGTCAGAGAGCTGGAGTCATAATCTGATGCT